GAAGACCAAGGTGAGCATTCTCAGTAAAAAAAAAAGAAAAAGGAAAAGGAAAGAAAAGAAAAAAGAAAAAAAAAATGTTGATCTGTGGGATGTGTTATTTGCTTTGAGGCAATTGGATTATCTGTGGGATGTGTCAATTGCTTGGCTTTGTTTGACTGATAGGCTTTCTTTCCCTGTCAGGTTTGGTTTTCTCCTCCTTTTCTTTACCTCTTTTTTGCCTGTTGGCTGCGTGCAAGTGGGTCCTTGTGACACACGGGGATGGGGGCAGTCAACGCTCAACCTGTCATCCACGTTGCTGGCCTTGGACGTAAGAGGTGATGAACAGGTGGCGCTCTCCTTCCTTACTTCTTTTCCTTTTCTTGTTTCCTTTTTTTTTTTCCGCCTTTGCGCTCCGATTCACAGTGTGACAATATATGTATGTATACATTTACATTTCTTCTTTGGAACGCTTGGTGCCAACCATCCGACATAGTTGGCTTGCTCCCCCTGGTTGATATTACGAGTAGGTTCTTTATCCAACACGGGTTTGAGAGCTAGCTCTCACTGGTCGGTATAGTATGCTCTTTTCCCAACATGTGTGTGTGTGTGTGTGGGGGGGGGGGGGTTGTATGTAGTGTGTGGGAGATTGTTGGCATTAGACATTGCTGTTACTCAAGAGGGGTGGGCGAAGAAGAAAAGGGAGGCGCAGATACTGGCAAGATGCTGTGTCTTTGTGTTAGCCGGCCCCCCACCAGTGGGCCCAGCATATTCCCTGACCAACGCCATTAGGGTTTAGGGGGCGGCATGTGTCCGCTTCATTGTGAGAGGATGCTGTGCGCTTGGAGGGTTTCCTTCCCTGTATAGTCTTCGGAGCAGTGGTAGATAGGTAGTGGAAAGGTGAATTTGAGAGAAGGAAAAAAAAAGGGTAAAAAAAGAAATTTACTCTGTTCTACTCCCAGAAAGCGGCCAGACTCAGCCATGTAGAACAGTCAAACAAGTCCTTCAGGATCAATCATGCAGTTGTGGAGTGTTTTCACGCCGCCGCCCAGTTGTCACCAGTTGTCCTCTTGGACAACTGAACGGCACTAAACCTCCACTTGTCCAAGACTGGGTGATCTCCTGTTAAGGGTAGTGGAGGCAAGTGTACCGGAACAGGTGTCACCGACGGACCGCACTCGACAATTGTATGGATGATCCCTTAACGATTTTCGTGATAATCGTCTTCAGGTCACACCCGGCTCTATATTTTGGCTCTATAGGTGTATATGTTTTCTCTATAGGGCTGATCCTCGACCAGGCTGTGATTTAAGAAAAAGCAAAAAAAAAAAAACAAGTTCCGTCCAATTGGGCTGCAGTAAGCGGGCAGTCTGACACTTGCAGATGGTGGACCACCATGTTAGCAAACCATTGCGGGGAAGAGTTGGGGTTAAGGGGGAAGTTCTAGTACTACTAGTTCTAGTGCTACAAGTTCTAGTACTACTAGTTCTAATCCTAGTCGAGTGGGGACTGACCATGGTGCCCAAGAGTGACAGTCGCATTACCTGGAAGTTCTTTGATTCATGTGGTGCACGAAATCCTTCCTGGCTAAGGTTCTAGTAATACTAGGCTGGAGGGTCACAGCACCTGCCGCCTGGGCATGCTTGGTGCCCACGGGGACCCCTGATATGGCATTAAAAGGACCGAGTGTATCTGCCGTCCGAGTGTTTCTGCCGACTGCGACCAGAAGCCGGCATTAACAAGATCTACCGTCATCACCCGAATAGAATGCCCAGTCAAACAGCTGTATTTGGTGCAACTTTCAGTCCAGGAACGGCGATAATTACTGGGCGTTGTATTCGGGTAAAGATGGTAGCCGACTTGTCCGATTGTATCTGCTGAGTGAGTGGCACGCCAGGCTACGAAAGTGCATGCAGTCTGCGGGTGGGACGCCAGGCTACACAAGTGCATGCAGTCTGGGGGTGGGGGTGGGACTTGCACTTCAGCGAAAGTGAGTGTGATTGGGGCGTCTTTTTTTTTCTTCTGAAACCCCCACTGCAACCGAAACCTGAATTGTCAAGCCAAAAAAAATGAAACCACTGAGCCTCTGTCCTATGGGTACTGCAAGTTGGAAAATTTGAAGCGGTACAAGTAACAGCTCAGTGAGCGACAGAAAATGAACACGGCTGCAGCAGCCCTGTTCCTTCGCTGTCCGAAGTTTGAAATGATATCCTGTCGGGAAGCGCTGTCGTGCAGCATGTCGAGATGCGGAATGAAGTAATGAGAGGCGGTGTGGTGTGAGGGGGGAGGTTTCTCTTCGCATCTGGTTATATATGTTTCTTAAAAGGGAGTGGAAAGAAAAGAAAGGGAGGAAGGCCAGAGTGCCACGTGTAGAATCTGAAATCCCAGCACTGCTGTTTATCGGAACGTAACCCAACCTTTGACGCTTCGAGAGCGTACTCACACTAGCAATGTCTGAAAGAATGTACTGCAATTACAGCCGGACCAGGATGCACCTGACCGCAATTACGTCCACGGAACGGAC